CGTGGCTTTCGGAAGCAGAGGCATTCGCCCTATGTTGTGACAACTTTTGTTTTTCTATCTAAAACAAAGGGATATTTTTTAAGAAGGGAAAAAGAAAGGATACTGGTCTACCAGTAAGTCTGAAGACCTATCATGAGCCTGTTTAGTATTACTAAGATGTTACACTTATCTGTCATCAGAGCTAAAGGTATTTTAAGATATGTTTAATCTACTGGAAGAAAGAGACCTACCCTATAAAATCAAACCAGTATTCTGTATAACACTGATGATGTTTAAATTATAGCTGACAAAAATATAGTTGTAAATTATTTTTAAATACTAGTTATATTTATGTTCTTACTTCTAATAACAAATTCTCACGTTTTGATGTCTTCTGGCCAGCTGTGCTTAACCTGAATCCACGGGGAGTTAGGACTCATCACAACAGTCCTGATCCAAACTCCCAGTCTCTCTCTCTCTCTCTCTTTTTTTTTTTTAAGAACATACCTAGAAGACAAAGATATTCATCACAAGAACCGACTGTGTAGGCTGAAATTTCAGTCTGTCTTACAGCAGTATAAATCAAAGTAACTTCACTGAGGCCAAGGGAGTTACTCTGGGTTTACACCCCCTCAGAGTAACGGATATAAAAAATGAAGTAGTTCCAATTAGGACATTGTTCGATTATTTTCTCTCTGAAAACGTGATAGAAATATTTTTCTCATTTACAATAAAAATCATTCCACTGTTCATACATCTTCAGTGAAGTGTGCGTTAAAATTTGAAGAGAAATCTAGTTATCTATGAAAAAGGAATTTTAGATTTTTACAAAGAATTCCATTTACGTGAAAGCTATTTTCTTTAGAAAAACTGTTCTGATAGAAATTTTCTGACCTGCTCTAAGCCTTACACATAATTCATATAAATAAGACACTGCTCAGCAGATGTTCAGGAAGGAGCAAGCCAGTAAGAAACCTAAATGACACATGCATTCCCATGTGGTTACACTCGAGGTTCTTGGTATTAAAAACAGGAAGGATGGGACAGTAGCTAAGGTAGCATGCGAGCCATGAGAGTAATTGATTTTTCATTCAGTAGTGGACCTAGTTTTTCTTTCAAGGAGCAAAAAAAAAAAAACCAAATTAATTTTGGGTCAGACACAACACTACTATTTTAACTGAAGGAAACCTTCCCGTGTGTTCCTCGCCCTGGCTGTTCTGAAGTCTAGCTCCCTTTTAAATGGAAAAAGAACATTTTTAATTTTGGAAAATGTTGAACTAATAAGACGACTGCAATATGGCTAAAACCATTTATGAAGTTAGAATTGAATTTAGTAAAGGTTTTGGAGGATTTGAAACTGCCTTTCTCAGCAAATAAGCTGCTAGTGTGAGAAAATTCTGAATCTCAAGAAGACTCAGAAATCTCAGCTTGGGAGCAGGCTCACTCTGGGACTCAGGATAAGTCACTTAGGCAAGTCAGGATAAGTCACTTAGGCAAGATCATCACAGGTATTTGGCTCCCAGAAAAGCTTTTTTTGAAGAGCTCAGCCACAGTGTCATTGTATTAATTCTGTAATTATATCATTGGCTAAATATATTCAGGATCAGATGGATTAATGCATATGTATAAATCTAAAGAGCAAGGCCCTCAGCTAGTACAGCGCTGTCTTTGCTGGAACCACTAAAGACAAAACGTAATAGTATTTCTGCGCAGACAAATACCACCCTTTCTTTGCCCAAAATGTAGACTTTCAGCTAGATCGTTCACATTCCTAGCTTTTCTGCATCGTCTGGAATTTGCCTGCTATTATTTAGACGCGAGAACCAAAAACACAAGCCACGCAACGTTTAATCCTCCTCTCCTTTATACCCTCGCTTTGTGTGCTGACGGAGACAGAGGCTTCGAAAGTGTTTCCCACTAAGGGACGTTGCCTCGTGAAGCAGATGGATGGGCTGTGCTCCCGCTTTGCGGCAGCCGGCTCTGGCTGCTCTGCAGCTCGTGGCGGCGCGAGGGAAGGGGACGCGGCCCGCGCTGCTGGGAGGCCATGGATCCCCCTGCCTCCTTCTCGCGCGCGCGCCGCCTGCCTTGACCGCCTTGCCGGAGGGCTCGCTTGGCTTGCCATGCATTTATTTGGGGCCGTTCCCTAGTAGCTGAGTGCATCTGCTTTTTCTCACCTCCAAAGCGAATCAATACGGCTTTAAATGATTTCCCTGATGCCTAGTTTTCTTACCTTGCACTGCTGTTATTCCAGCCATGCTATTACCTGGTCATTCCTGCCTCTTCCTTTCATCTCTCCCTTGGCTTCTTCTCTTTGCCTTCTCTTAAAAACACATACAAAATACTCACTGGAGCAGCTTGTTTTTGCTCTGTGTCGTTCTCTCGTACACACACCCATTTTCCATCGCTTGCAGCCACGCGCACGCTCGCCACGGTGTCTTAATGCGCGCGCTGTCTGCCCCTATCTCCATCTCTCTCACTCGCACAGCCTGCCTAGCTGATCTCTGCTTAAGCAACATCTGCTTATCGGGAGCTTTTCTTCTGATGCTGTGGTTAGTGAGTAAGCGCTCCTGTTTCCTTGCGCTTCTGTCCGTCAAAGATATTCAAGCTAAAAAAAAAATTTTTTTTTAAATTGAATAATCTGTTGAGCTCTGATCTTTTTTTCCTCTCCCATACGCCTAACCCGCATTGGGGCAGGCATGGCTGAGAGCAAACCCATCACCAGTGCTAAAAATAAAAGACCTCCCCGCGTTCTGGCTGAGCGCTAACTGAAATATAGATAACCCATGCTTCTGGGACTGCCTCATTTTTCTAGATCCCGCCTAATCTTGGATGTGGTTTGTTCGGATCACTAGGTACTCCTGACTGTATAAAAAGCCCTGAGAAATGCTCATGCGTCACCCAAGTGGATTGCCGTGCCGGCGATGCGGCCCGGGGAGAGCAGCGCTCCGTCCGTGCAGGCACCTCGCGCGCCGGCCCCTCGATCCCCTTATCGCCCCGGCGGTGCACGTACGCGCATCAGCTGCGTATTCCAGGCGCAGTGCGCAGCTTACAAATCCAAACCGCTTTGGCTAGCATAATCACGCTTTTTATTTAATTATTTATGTCATGTATTGCTCTGTCACTATTTTTGCATTCTGTGGTGCTTTTATACGCCCAGGCACCCAGTTAAAGAAACTTGGAGCTCATTATTTGCTTCTGATTAGCACAGTGCGTTTGAGTGGCATACTGGAGGCAAAAATTTAAAACGTATCAAAATGCAAATATGCCCCCATTGACCTCTGAAAAACTGTGTTACGTTACAAAATGCTTTCAAAGAAAGCTAGAGAGGAAAAGGCAAGAGATTATAAGTTTGCAGAGGTCTCTGATATTAAAAAAAGATAGAGAGAGAGAATGGTTACTTAGAAGGTTGTGTTGCGAGCAGCGCAGAAAGGCTTTTTCTCCTTTAAGGGGAAGTGGAGGGGCCAGGTACCCCTGCCCATTTTACATATCGCTTTACTTTGCTAGAAGAACCACTGCAGTGAATGGGGTTGCTTGTGGTGCATATTTCTCAATCTGCCAAGATTCAAATATGTAGTCTAATACATGGCAATGGCCCAGAGTGAGAGACACAGAAATTATTCATGATCCCTTCTTTCAGTCTGAAAGCCTCCTTCTATAACCTCAGTTTAATGACTCCACGTTTAAGAAATAAATGATTTTCACCAAGAAAAGTGAGACAGCCAAATTTGCTTGGAGAAAATAACATTGGGATTAAGGCAAGTGGCATCCCTATAGTAATGTGTGCCTGAGAAGTGCATTATGGAATAAGATGCAATGTTAAGGGAGTTACCTGAGCTAGTTGTTCTTTCGCAGGCACCACTAGTAGTGAATCTACTCTTTAACTAGAGAAGATTTCAGTTAGTTGTTGGGTTGTTTTAGCAAAAAAAACCAAGCCCCCCTACCCCAAAACGTAAGCTTCTGCCCTGGCCTTACCCTTACTCTCCACAAGTCTTATCCGCAAATACTAGCGTGCCTGGAGGCACGGCTTTCTCTAATCCTCTGACACAGATCCAGAAATGATGGTGTCCTCAAAGCAGGTCTAAATGCTTTAAAATCTTTTACCCTAGCCGAGCAACAGTTCATGTGCATGTGTTAATATTAGTTCGGTGTTCAGATTAGCACTACTACTTTAATGAGGGCATCCTTTGAATAGCCACCTCCCCGCATTACGCGTCGCTGATGTTCAGTGTCGCTTGCTGTAACGAATACCACATAGAGCTTCGCTGCTGTTTCTAACAGCACGTTTTTATTCTTCAGGCCGTATGAGTATCTAATGTGGTAAACACCGCAAATCAGCAAAAGGAAAGGGAGCACCAGTCAGAAAAATAACGTGTAGCCATAGCTAGCATGCAAAATTCAAGCGGAAGAAGAAAAAGTATGTTATATCTCCCCCTCCCCATCTCACAGTGGTTGTTGTGGCATTGCTTAGCTAGTGTCCCCGGCTCTGGCTATTGCTTCATTGCGCTTGGCCATAAATGAAAGCTATCTAATGATAATGACCATGGTGCCCACCCTAATCATGCATTTGAAATATTAATAAAAATAATTTATGTCATGTGACTGCTTTTTAACTAGCTGCTTTCAGGACTTTAGATCAGGATTATAAAAGACGTGCATTTATAAATTATTAGCCTTGAGCACATAAGCACTGTATACTATGGGGAGCACTTTTGTAGCACTTTAAATTAATTTATTGTTATTCATTCCAGCTGTCTGTGATGTAAACCTTTGGCTATAAATTTGTACCATCATCCAACACACCATTAAACTAAAGTGGTGCCCGTGCTGGAGCATATAATAAAACATATGAATAAGATTTCTGTGGGGACACTTTTTTTAAACTCTCTTCTCAGTTAATGACACAAGAAAAGTGAGATAACATAGTCACCCTGTAACTATGCATTCATTAAAATATGTCTGGTGGGGAAGAGTTTTAAATTTGCGCTTCTATTGAATTCTGACTCAATGTTTTTCTTTACCAGATTGTTTCAATTCATATGCTATCTCAAGCAAAAGGCTTTGTCTGAATCCATCATGAAGTCACCAGCTAAGACCGCCAGAGGATTTGGCTGGACCTGAACTTTTCAGTAGTGGAAATAGCTCCTGAGCGCTGAATCGCAGACTGACAGGAGCAGAGCACTTTCACCATCTTCTCCCCTCTGCTGGCAAACATTTTTTCTCCTACCGATCACCATCAGGGTAGCAAAACTTTATCTGCATGACTAACACCATGATGACTTAAGCGACTTGACTGTATAGATATATTTAATGCCAGCCCATTGGGATACAATTTCCTAAACTTTAAAGCAAGTTGTGAGTATGCAGTACTCTACCAAGCAGAGTTACAACTTGCTCTTCTCTTTCCGGGCAGGTCTCCTCTTTCCCATGTACCGTGTTATATTATGGTTATATTGTGGTTCCAGAATCATGTAATGCTTCTTAATATTTTTTGTCACTTCTGTGGTAGATGACTTTTAGAGCAAACCCGTTTGAAGAAGGTCCTGACTGATCTTCCACTGATTTCAGTAAGAGTTTGACTATTCACAGTTTCTCAGATTTAGGCTCCTATTCGTGATATAAAGTATAGTTATATGGGAACAGAGATATGAACCTGCATATCACATTCTCAGCTGAGATAACATAGCACAGCTCCTTTAATTTGTACCAGCTGCTCATATACTGCATGTTTTCAGATCTAGAGCTTGCTGAGTTATTCACCTGGTAGGAGGGCCTTTTGTAATTTAACTGAGAGCAGAAAATGGTACCCACAAAGAATGTATTTTTGATTGTAACTAACCTCATTAATCTAAAGACTAGTTTGAGCAAATAAAGTTCTCTTTTCCATATATGTCCAAATCTATCCTAAATTTATAGGTTTAAGGCTCTAAAAGTCTTTGATTTGGAATCATCTCTAAATAATCCACAAGCAGGATATCTGAACTACTTGGGAATGTGTGTAGGTGAGTAACTGCCCTTTATGCACAAAAATTAACATTTGACTATAGGACTAATAAAAGATACCGTCTTCCTGGGGAATTTTATTTTGACTCAAATATCTAGAAGTTAGGAAGTTTATCTCAGCTGTCCAAAATTATTGAAATATATTCAATAGATACTTCAAAAAGCAGACTTTGGCTTGGATACTTGAATCATGTTGGTGCTCTTAGAAAAGGACTGGCACTTGAATGAAGCGTACTATACCATAAATAATGTAGGGACGATCTTTTTCAGTCTGATTTGCATGCCACTGCAAGACCCTCATGTGGAGATCTGCATGAGAAGGAAAAATAATGGTGGGTGGGAGAGAAGACAGCAACCACCTGAACTATATTTACATTCTTTGGAAAAAGGGGGTGAGAGATCAGATTTATCTACTCATGCTATCCTTGCCGCTGAACAAAACATAAAACAGTATTAGCTTGCATTTTTATACCTCTTCCAATTAAAAGTAAACACAATTATGGCAATCTTCTGCCTGATTACAAAAGGTATTTCAGGTTGTGGCTGGATATAGGGTCTTCACCTGCTATCCAGCAAACAAGGAGTTAATCACAGTTGAAGCTTCCCTGACAGAGGTGATTAGGACAAGAGCTGTAAATCAGTTGCCTGAGATGCAAAGGGATGTTGATTATTAGGGGAGAGGGGAGGCTTTGGTTGTTGTCTTAGGTGTGAGTGTGAAGACCTGGATAGTTGCAGCAATCGTTCTGGTTTTAACTCTTCCTTCCTGCAAAGATTCTCTGCTCGTGTAGCTTGCTTCGAACGAAGACGTAACCCGCTGCTTCCCTCTGTGGTGTTAGTCTTTGCCAGTTATTTTTACATTCTGTCCCAGGATATGTAAAGAAAGCCCCTGTTTCTATTGATGTGCTAAGCTTGTTTTAAATTTTCTTCTAACTTGTTTACTACAAAAGAAGACGACTTGGTCATGTGAAAAAAGATATGCAGAGCTTTCCTTTTTATTAAATGGCTTATCAACTGCCCCTTGATGAATTTAAATAATTGAAGGAGAACTAGCTATATGTTATCCCTCAAAAGACGGGACGGTGTTGTGTTTAAGTCGCAGCATCCAAAATGATAGGGTTCAGTTTCCAGTCGCTAATGAATCTTTTCAGCTGTTCGTGCCTCAGTTTCTTACCAATTGCATAGAAATAAGGTGCCTTTTGTTTCCTCTTATTTAAACTGTAATCTTTTGGAGTCATAGCTCTGTCCAATACATACTACCTTAGCTTGCTCAAGTCCTCTAAAAGTGCCTCGCTAAGACATGATGCTTCTCTTCAGTTTCCATGTTTTTGATACCTGCTAATATCACTAGAGATACCTGCTCTACATCCTTTTTTGTCTCCCTGGTTTGGTAGGATGAAGCTCTTTATTCCTGTAGAGGGCCTGGCAGCTCCAGCGGTGCATGAGGACCCTTGTGCACGCCAAGAAGTGAAGAAGGGCCCTTACGCTAAGGAGAGCAACTCAACTAAGAGGCCAGACAGAACGGGTGGATGCCAAGAACTGAAGACAACAGAAAGAAACAGTGGCCGTGCCTCTGCAGTTTGGCAAAAGCAGTCTCCAAAAGAGCTGCAAGAAAGGCACCCACTGTCCTTCATGCACACAGTCATCGCCAGACTATCTGAGGGGACCGCTAGCCATGGTCATCCACTAGCCATGCTCGTGGACACTGGGCCAAGCGGGCCCCGAAGGGCACCTGCTTGTCATCTGAGTCAGTGTGCTTAAAGCGATTGCCATGCATACACATCAGTGCCTCACAGACATATGCTAGCATTTGTGATACTGTCAAAATACGCTTTCAAGCCCATTTCAGCAGCAAGCCTGCTTAGACTCCATGCCAGGAAATGTTAATTACTGTGGTGCAATCTTCTGTTTTCTGTGGTGCAATAACAATTAATTTACACCATTTGGAAAACACTTACACATTTTTATTAAAAAATCAATAAAAGCAAGTCAATACAGTGTAAAGTATACAATATCAAAATGAAAAGCTCTTGTTTTTATACTTGGGCATCCCTAATAAAATATCATTGTTGATTCAGGCAGCTTGTCTGTTGTAAATTAATAAGAACCCAACATGTTTCTTTTTAGCATTTTGGAAACAAATAAAGATGGCTGCCCAATAAATGGTAAGAGAAGGCAATAAGTAACCCCCAAGTGGTAAGTCAATATGATGATGTAAATGCTGCTGCATTCACTTCTCAGCATCACATGACCTATGCACCCGACCATCCATGGGATCCATTTTGAATTAGGAAGGAGGTTAACTTTTATTTATCATTACAATTAGAAAAACATTAGCTCTAAAAGAGACTGCTCCATTGCTAGGAGGTGTCACCACAGAGTAAATTCCATAGCAGTATTTGCATTTTAACAGGTCGAAGAATAAAACAAACTAATCACTTCTTCCTGGGAAAACCTGTTTATTCTTCACAAGCTAAAGAGTTCCTCCAACATTGATTTCGAAGATTCTTCTGAAACAAAATCACAATTGTTTTTTCTGCCGTTGCTCCAAGTTGGAGGTGCTGCAGAGCCTGGCAAGGCAGGTCATGCCAGTAATCTCATGGTTCCTAGGCTTACCTGCAGCAAGAACAGGGCAAGATCAAAGCTTTTCAGGTGGCTTAAATCCTTGCTCCTCAGCAAGGCACCGTTTCAGGGAGCTTGTGCTGGTGACCGCAGAGCCACCATGTTCCCCACCACTGCAGCAAGGAGCACTTTGCCCTTTGAAATGCAAACTACCCTTCCCGTTGCCAGGACCCATTGCCACGTTTTGCATGTTTCTGAGTGTATCCACAGCAGTTTTAGCTTGATTTTTTTTTTTAAAGTGAACCATAATGGAAAGGAACAGGATAACTTT